GGATCTAAAGAGATCGACAACAAGCCTGGAGTGAGATGTCGTTTGGTTGTGCAGCAGATCGCTGCTGGAAACGGCGTGGCAGCCACCCTTGGATACAGTTCGGCTACACCTTCTACAGAGGCTGTAAGAGCCCTTTTAATAGACGTAGCTTCTCAATGCTGGACCATCGGTGCGATGGACGTGAGCACCGCATTTATGCATGCGGATTTGCCGCCTGGCGTCCATGTTGCTATTCGGCTACCGGCTGATGTGTCTGCTACTAAAGACATCCATAGCCCGACATATGCAATAGCATCCAAAGCTTTGAATGGGCTCCGGTGTGCATCTAAGGCATGGCTCCAGCTGGCCAAGCAGGTCACCGAAAGCCATGGATTGTTGTCTTGCCCTACTGAACCTTGTGCATTCAAAGGTGTGTTCCGCAGGGGAAAGTTTTCTTGCCGCATGGTTTTAATTTTGTATGTTGATGATATCCTGGTAGGATGCGATTCACCTCACGGCCTGGAAAATCTTAGAGATGCTTTTCTTGACCGTGTTTCCAAAGTCAAAATCACGGGGCAGCTCAACCCTGACCAGCCTGGAACCATCATGTTTCTAGGAAGGGAGATTACTCGTTTTGCTGGTAGTAAAAACTTGTACATGAGAGTTCCCACTTCATATCTCTACGAATGCCTGGCCAATGTGTCTCAGACTGATACACCACCTCAGATCGATCTAGAAAAAGGTACTAGTGACAAGGGAAATGAACCCCTGTCTGCCGAAGCTGCTTCTAAATATAGGTCTATACTTGGACGAGTTGCTTGGTATTGTCAAACCCGACAAGATCTTTTGAGGTTTGTGAGCATCCTGTCCACCGGCCAGTCTGTGCCCTTGCATAAGCATGAAATAGGATTGAACAAGCTTTTGAGATATTTGAAGGCGAACTTGCATATTCACCAAGAGCTAAGAAATAGTGGCGGAGATCGAACTATCCATTTGTATACTGATGCTTCATGGGGGGGTAAGTCTTACTCTGGATATGTCATCTTTTGGTGTGGAAGCATGTTGAAATCAGTATCCCGGTGCCAGGTCACGATTTCGTTATCAGCTTGCGAAGCCGAGATGGTTGCGATTGCACAGGGTTGCCAAGAAACTTTAGGCGTTCTTCACCTTCTTGATTTCTTCAATGGAAATGCTGAGATGCCCATCAAAACGATTGAGGAATTTCTTAAAGCAAATGTGGAAGAGCTACCTAAAAGTCTTTTTGTCATCCGAACTGACAGCGAGAGCAGCCAGAAACTGCTGCAAGCCGACGGGTTTAACAGGAGGACCCGGCATCTTCATTTAGCTCACGCATTTGTGCAGAGATTGATTTTTCATGAAGTTCTAGTCATCCAGTGGGTGAGTACGGATGACCAAATAGCCGATGTTTTGACGAAGATCTTGGACAAGGTTAAGTTTGAGAAGTTTAGGAAGATGATGGGATTCATAGCTCGCGTACCCCCAGAATCATGGCAGTTTCTTGTTGAGAAGTCCAAGAAATCCGAAGCCTTGCCTGAATCCACCTTAGCTTCTTTGTCCGAGCCTTCAGAAATTGCTTCCGAAGCCACCCAGCCTTTGCTCATGTCAGGTTTGAACTTGACGAAGAGGATAGAATCCGATTTTCGAACAGTAGAAGACCACTTGAAGAAGGGAACTAAAGTTTGTCTTTTTCTGGAAATCTGCACAAAGGAGAAGTCTGGATTTTTCAGCCAAGATGGTAAAGTTTTTCATGGATTTCGATTTTGTGTTGTTCAAGTGACCAGACAAGATGATATCTGCAGGGTTAGTAAACCTTTACATGAACGCTTGGATATTCTTCAAAAGCGCTACAAGAACTTCCATGTTTGTCTCTGGTTTTCACCTCCGTGTACAGGAGGAAGCCCTGCGCAGTTTCTCGTTCCTGGATACGAGTTCCGTCAATCCGAACATTTTCAGATTTTTGCGAAAATCTGCAAAAGTGCCCAAGGTCTCTTTGAGAAGGCCGCAGCATGTTTCTTCGAAATGTCCCGACCTTGCCAATTTTGGAAAAGCCGCCTTGTTTTGGAGCTCATTTCTAAATTTAATTTGAGTAGCACCAGCTACTATGACCGATGCAGCTATAGTGAAGAGGAGTTGCCGCCAGTTAAGCATACTTTCAGAGTCCAGGGAAGTGTCCCGCTTCAGCCTAAGCTTCGGTGTATCTGTGAAAGACACAGACCACTTTTCCAACAAAATCTTGAGGAAATGGAAGTGTATCCGGTCAGAATGACTAAAGAAGTCGCTTCCGATGTTTGCCGACATTTTAGGGACGTTTTCTCATAGCTGGATCCAAAGAGAGTTTTTCATGAAACTTGGAATGGCAGTAATACTTTTGCCCAGCAGACCAACAAACTGCTTTGCGTTTTTTTTTGTCCACGTCAGTGGAAATCCATCTGTCAGCAAACAGACGATTCGGCCTGAACAAAGATGTTATGTTCCGATTGTCATTATATAATAATGTGAAATTTGCCTGCCCGTTGGATCGACAGTGCCCACTTAGATTCCGGTGCGATAATTTTAACTACCTCGGTTTTGCCGGATGTGAAAGGTGTGGGGGGGTGTGAGATGAATCCACCGGATCACAGTGACATGTCACAGCATGTTGTATCACCATCAGTTGCCCCGAAGCGACAGCTGTTGGTTCTTTGTATCAATAGAATCCGGCAGATTCAGATCTCATTGATTTCAGTCCCCATCCTGAAACTGTATCCACCTCCTCATCCGACACCGAGTTAAGTAAGGAATTGTGTTGATCCGATCTATGGACACAGATTCTAGAAATGAAAGCAACGACATGTAATGTTCAGGTGCCATTAGGTTTTGATCCCCGATGCTGTAACGTGTGTGAATTCATTCTTGAATCTGTGTCCAGACCAGACATATTGACAGATTTCAAATGGTGAAGTGCCAGAGGACGGAGATGTGAAATGCACACATGTTTCTCATCACATGTGTAATTTGATCTTGATCGGTTCGGCCCTGAGCCTCACCATACAATCACCCTTTGGACGATTTGCGCATAGCTGAGAATGCAGTTTACCTCCATTTGTGTCAACGCATTTCATCACTCGAGTTGAGCTCAGTTTTTCCCCTGAAAGGTTGTCACAAGTCCGGTGAAGACAATCAAAGTTTTTATTTCTTACTTGAAAGATGGATTTGGGAGCCGTTTCCACGCCTCGGAACTGAGAAAGTTTGGATTCTGAACCCTAGATTGTGTTTAAAATCAGACCAAACCTCAACAAACTCATTTGAATGTTTTCCGTTTGTTTCAGTTTGGGAGCAGTGGAGACGATTCGGTTTGGAAGGCTACACAACGTGTTTTTGGCCTCATGTTTTTTTTCCCACGGAGTAGGCACATAAGTGAACTGAAGAAGTGGGCTGCATGCCAAATTGTTGGCTCAAGCTCGAGCTGCAACAGAGACATCTGTAAGCAATCTGTGACTGTCTGTGACTGGTGCTCTCGCCTCGACGTTTGACGCCATTCGAATTTCAGCGACAGACTGTTATTAAAGGCAGAGAAAAGTGCGGCATTTTTTTTGAAGAGCTTCTATCTGAAGAAAGAAGGTTGAAGGATTCTTGAGAAATTTTGCCGTATCTGCTCTCTACTGGGTGTAGAGTTTTCGCACCATATGGTGATTTAGTGGATTTAATAACATTTACCAGCAAAATATAGGATTTACCATGATTTGCACTTTGGCAATCAAACCGCATTGAAGTGGGAAAAATAGGAAATTGATGTTTCGGCCCTGAAAACCGCAATTTTTCGCGGAACCCCCCCAAACTCATTGCAGGGCCTATGTTAATTGGGGGAATGGTAACCGTTTTAACCGTTGAACGTGTGGAGACCATTAAGATAAAGGGTTTGCTGGTTGTGGTCCTCTACCCCTCAGATCAGAAGAATTTGTTTAGATTCAGATTTTCCAGACTATCCCACTCATGATGCCAGATATATCCCTGCGTCCAAAGACTAAATGCGGCCCCTCTCCCCGTTTCCCGCCTGCATGATAAACACGTGCAGTAGTAATTTTTTGTATTAGGGGGTATTTAGTATTAGGGTGCGAAACTGTCCCCTAATATTAAATTAAAGACCTTAATGCAAACAAATATTTGTTTATTTCAAAATTGATTAAATTTCGTTTTGAAACCTAATTAAGATATTGTCAGACAAGTGATTTCGAAGTTCTCCCCTAATATTGAATTAAACACCTTAATATAAAAAAATAATTTTTTCTATGTCAAAATCGATTAGATATCTTTTTAAAACGCAATTAAAATATTGCCAACAATTTGATTTCGGTGCTGTCCCCTAATATTAAATTGAAAACCTAGAGTGGGGAAACCTTCGGAACAGAAGATCTTGAAGTTAAACGGTCTTAAGGGATGAACTTATCAGCGGGGAATTTTCGACCTAAGCAGCCAGGAATACATAAAGAGAAACCAACACATATGCTTCAAGAATTCCCTTGTCCGAAGGCGCTTTGCCGATACAGCATGATGCTGCAAAAATCGGCTTTAAACAATTAGGATTAAAAAAATCGATATTAAAAGACGGACCCTAATAAAAAACACACCCCGGCGTTGACTAATTTTTCTTACTAGGGGGTGAAACCCACAAATGGGCGCTTCATTTTTAAATTGTTTAAAGGGAATCAGTTCAAAATCAAATTAGCCAGTCTGAAAATTTCCAAAATTTAACGCGGGCCTAGTTTTTAGTCTTTGGTGGGGATGTAGTAATAGGATGAAGGGATTATATTTCCCATTTTTGAGGGTTTTCTGTTGGAATCATGGCCTTGAACTTGGGATACGAAACCAAGTGACATTGGGATACGAAACTAACCAACCAAAACTCGGAAGTGAAGCAACATAAGCAACTGAAAATGGAATGATGGATCTCATTCAACCCAACATATCCACCATTGCCATTTCTTTCATGGGAAAACCCGTGGGAAAGCGCCAGCTGTGAGGATCGGGTGGATTTCATGATGGAATTGCGCTACGCCCTAGAGGTGGCTCAGTCACGTTGCCTGCCGCAAGATGGAGATGGTGTCATAGCCATATCTTCATGGTTTAAATAGATGTTTAATGATGGAGAATTACCATTGTATAGCCATAAACATGTGGTTTAAATATATAGACTAGATGTTTAATGATGGAGAATTATCATTGTATAGCCGTAAAAATGTCGTTTAAATATATAGATGTTTAATGATGGAAAATTACCATTCTATAGCCATAAAAATGTTAGATTTGGGGTGATGGTTTATTGCTGTGCTAACATGACCCCTTAACCGGTTGGATGGTTGATCCTTGAAAATAGACCAATATCCTCTGGTTTTTTGGAGGGTCCTAAATTTCGACCCCCACCCGTTGCGGATGTTCATATTCCATTGGGATGATGGTGTATGAACATCCGCAGCTGCTAGGTATTTTAAGCGATGGTTGACCATGGAGACCATGTAGCTGTACCAAGGTTTTGACCCATTTGAATTTCACCAACATGGCAGTGCAACCAAGAGAATTGGGATGGCTTGGGTAACCAACAATTTGCAGGTTGAGGAAGGGTTAGGAGACTCCAGCCCTTGGTTTACCATGCTTTACCCGTGCTCCAAAACAGATTGTGACTTTGACAGTGCTCCAGACTTTTGGGCACATGCACATTTGTTTATGTATACAATGTTTACGGTATTTCTTCTTCTGGGATGTGCCAGAAATTATGACATTATCTTCCATATTTATACATGAATATACCCTCTGGTAAACTAACATAGCTATTGAACATGGCCATTTATAGTGTGTTTTCCCATTAAAAATGATGATGTTCAATAGCTATGTTAGTTTACCAGAGGGTATTTCATATTTTACATTATCCACAACATCCCACCTTTCTTGCTGTGAACAGAAGGGGATTCCCATGGTACTTTTCGACTCCTGAGGTGTCGCAACCGCCACCAGTAGCGAGGACAAACGGCAGGTGGTGCCGCGGGATCAGTTGGGGAATGATGAACGATGGATTAGTTTAACGGAAATTTTACAGGAAAAGCCCCATATAGCCCCCTCAACTCCAGCATCGGTTGTGACATTCGTTTGAGATGAGTGACAACCATAGTAACTGCTTCGAAATGTAAACGCCGTGACAGGGACATCATGGTGATTGAAGGTTCTTCCGGTTAAGATGTTCCGTCAAACCAATCCATTGAGATGAACCTCCATGAGCAGCTACCCTTTGGTCAACTAACAGTTTGCGAAGTGGAAGAAAACACCAGTAAGTTCTGTGAATCAACGAACTAAATGGCCATATTCAATAGCTATGTTGAAACACCAGAGGCTCTCTAACTATTGACATATTTTGCTTGGTTATAGGAAACTATACTGCCTGGGTTATTGGGGATGGATTATATACAACTCATATGAATGGGAAAACTATCAACCTTAAGTAGTATTTCATGAGATGGGAAAACGGAATATGTTGAAATTGGCTCCTAATGGGTCTTGACCAGGCTTTTTTCAGTGAACCATCTCGAAAAATTCTCGGAAGTTGATGGGCACGACGGCTTGATTCGAGTGGAACATCAATGTCAACCCTGGATTAATAATAAGCCCCGTTTACGGCTGTTGAATTGGGAGGGTACCATAAAAAAGTGTCAGTTGAAATGACTCTTGGAGGAGTACCCCCTTTTTTTGTCATAAACCATGGTTTAGTCATGTTTAGTCTCATCCGGGGTTGACATGACCCAAAATTAGAGAAGTGAAGGTCCCCATCAACTGCACAGTGCTTCTGTATCTGCAGGCGAAGCGCCTCTGTAGCGGCTTGTTCGAAAGCTTCGCGTGCCTCTCCATCCATGGCGAGTTTAAGGTGAATCTGTTGGGGGTCATCGGAACTGGGTAGGTTTTTACGGCTGTATTCTTGGGTTGTGAGGTGTTTTTTAACTCAGTGTAATCATACGCAATGTATCCAACGTGTATATACTCTGTTTGGGTTAACACGAGTTTTGTCGCCATGAGGGGACTTGAACATTTTTGACAAGCCCTTAGCACTTTTCGTTGGTCAACCACTCATTGTTGTTTCCCGAGCACACAGGGGAATAGGGGGGGATGAGCATCCGTTTGCCAGGGGCTGTTGTTAAAGCCCCAATTCGTCCCAAAATGAGTCGAACACATGTTGAAAAAGATCTTGAGAACAAGTGGATCTCCCCCAATGATCGATCAGAAAACACGCATGATTTTGTGTGCCCTTTGTGCCCTTTCAAGAATCCATAAATCCACTAATGAGATGCATTTGTTGATGATTAACTCCCTCTTTCTGAAGGTCATTTCGCATTGCTGGTTGATTTTTTTTTGGATCCCTTAGTCAAAAGATGAGAATCCAATAATCCAAACATCACACATCCACCAAGCCCAAAACGGATGTTGTAAGAAATGTGTATGGGTCAAAACCGGGTACCCCAATAATTGGATTGTTAATACTAGAAATAGACTTAGCTTAAGTCTGTGCTTGGTGGCTCATCCCACTTAGTAAGTGGGTTATAACCCCAGTTATAAATGGGATAAGTAGGGTTAATCCACTTATAACTGGGGTTATAACCCACTTACGATTCGTGGGATGAGCCACCAAGTGGTCCCCAGGTCACTAATTTTCTCCAGGAGCTGCTCATCTCGTCCAAGAAGACCTTGGCAGCACTGCAGGCTCTTGCGAAGGAGGAGGAGTGGCGTTCTCTGGGGATGTCCCGGAGATATCTGAAGAGATCTTTGGAGGAGTAATCTGGCGGAAGATTCATCCAGATCACTGAACAAATCCGATTCTCGCTGGGTCCTGGAGTCCTTGACTTTGGTGTGAAATTTCCTTTGGTGAGTTGATGATCACCGAATGATCACGAGTAACTTGAACAGTAAAAAAAAATCCCTTGACTTCATATCTCACTGAAATACACACATCATCGCTGGCTTTTTTGATGATCAGTTTCTGTTGGTCAACTCACTCATTTCTGTTCGTCGACTCCCTGCTTTTTAGCTTGGCTCGTCCCTGGAAAGGACCTGGGCGATGCAGGGCTCAGTTTCTTCTTTGCCATGCTCATCTACAACCTCTGCAGGCTCCCAAGTGGACAAACAACTGGGTTGCAATTGGGAATCGGCCGGTGTTTTTGTATAATATTTACACATATTTACCACCAATATACAATCCTTTTCTTTTTGTCAAGTATTCAAAAGCAGCCATTTTTGGGGGTCAATTACACATCCGTTTTTTTGGAGGTCAATGATTTTGATTCATACTGATTCATGGTATCCAAATAATATATGAGCATGATCCACCAAACCAGGGTTTCTTGGGGAGTGTATGAGTAGGGTTAGGGTGGTATCCTTCAAAAATGGATGGTCTACCACCAAAGATGGCTGATGATATACCACATGTTTGACCCATACCTAGGGCATACCTGCAATGGCTGCAATGGGATATATCAAGGTGTGTGGATATCCAATGGTTTAGATGCATGCCATTTTGTAGGTGTATACTCCATAAAAATGGAAGTTCCACGCATTTCCCACGATTTTCTTTTTGGTTGGTCTTACATCCCATGATGTTCCTGTAATATCCCCTATGATATCCCAAGTACACCTCTGATCATTTAAGATAGCTATGGAAAATGGCCCAGTTTCAGTTGATTTGCCTATGCAAAAAATGGTGGTTTTCCATGGCCATGTTTGTTCACTGGAGGGGATACCTCCACCATATCCTGGGAAACCCCACGAAATTCGCAGGTCCCGGGACGACAAGATGAGGCCTAGCGCGGGTTTGGTGGGGCTCCAAATAGCTGGTGCCTATGAGTGTTTATCCTGCAACAGGTATAAAGGTTTCTTAAAATGGGGAATTTTCGAGTCACCATGGGGTTTCAATCCTAAAATGATTCTGGATAATTTGGGGTTACCCGAATTTAGGAAACCTCCATATGGATCCATACTATGAGTTTTAGCCCAACCCTCTACCTCCCTCCAGTAAACATTTATGTTGCTGAAACGAGCCCAGCTTAAATATGTAAATCATCAACAACCAAGGGATTTTCCCTTGCCGCAATATTGTCATTTTTCGGAAAGGACTTGGCCAGTCATTTCATCAATGTGAGTTGCATCAAGTTATATGCATACCTTCCGGTAATCAACTGTGGTAATGGGAAATCCCCTATACATGCACAGAGGTTTTGGTTTAATTTAATGGGAAAACCATGGAACAAAATGGTGGATTTTCCATTGCCACGTTTGATTACCGGAGGGTTTCCCATTTTTCCGGGGTGAAGAACGCACTCCATTTTTCAGCCAGGAGAAAGACGGGCAACCCCATGATTGATGAGTTGGGGTCCGACGATCTGAAGGCAGAGAACTCCGAAGATGGCATACTCAACTTAAAAACATAGCATATTATATATATATATATAAGACCCCGCAAACACAATCCTGGGTTCTCAATCTTTAAATAAATAAATAGATATATATATATATGTATATATTAGGAGTTATTTTTTTGGGTAATATTCCCCTTTGGTCAGTGATGGAATCCTGACATTCAACCATTTTTGGCATACAATGAAGTGGACTCCTAAATCCGGATTTTAAAACATCCCGTTGGTAATTCTCAGATGATTTTGGGTTCCCCCATTTTGGGAGACCGCCGAATGATCAGCTGGCTATTAGCTGGCTATATCTGTGATATGCCAATTTGCTCCCCATTTAAAATGTTGGTGAACTCCTGATTTCAACTATCATTTCTAGAACATTCTCCATTTTTCAAAAACATCCAGTAGTTCCCCCAAGTACCTTTTCTCGCTTTGAACCACAACAATCTACTGCAACTATGTACAGATCATATCAAATTAGATCAAACACATATACATAGGTCACATATCATTTATATCAAATTGATATCATTGTATATATATATATATTGTATATTTATAATATTTATAATATACATATATATATAAACATATTATCAGATTCATCTATAGAGACAACTCAGCTGAAAAGTCCCATCTCAGCTGAATTCTGGTCCAAAGAGATCGTCCCGTGAAGCCAACGTTGGATCCTCCGTCCGTTGCTGCATTGAATCATCCTTCAAAAACATATCAAACATCTTACTCAGATATATCGTGATTCTTTCCCTTACTATACATATATATATATATATAGACAGTATATGTAAATATTAATATATACATATATACATATATATATATATATATACACACTATATATACACACACGATATAGTCACACCACCTCCAGCCCCGTCAGTTGTTCCCTTCGGCGAGGCCTTGGAAGAGTTCTACGAGCGCATGCCGCCCGAGGCGCGGCCCGCGGTGAACGGCGAGGTGGACGCGGGCGATGCGCAGCTGGCGGCGAAGATGCGAAGCTGGTGCCTGCAACGGGAAGGCCGTGATGGGGATGGGGTTATTACCCTCTGGTAAACTAACATAGCTATGGAAAATCACCATTTTTAATGGGAAAATCCACTATAAATGGCCATTTTCAATAGCAAAATGTTAAATTACCAGGGGAAGAATAGCCATAAAAATCTGTGAAAATCCATGAAAATCCCATGAAACATGGTGGTTACTAGATGGTTTTGAACATGAAAAACATAGGATTAAACTTCATTGAACATGGGGAAATCAGGGTTCATGGTGAAAAACATGTGGATTTCCCCTGTCAAAACTGGTGGTCTTCTCATTTTTGATGGTCAAATTGCGATCAATTCCTACATCGTTTGACGTTTCGCTGCAAGGCTCGGGCGCTTCACCGGTCGTTTCCAAGCTCTGTCGATGTATCCAGGGCAGCTCTGTGCAGTGCAAGGCAGGGTTTTGTTCGTAGTTTCCTTGGATTTAATGGGGACGACCATGGACGACCCAAACGAATATCATGGGGATATATATATATGATAAGTATTCATAAGTTCACCATAGCTGTCCTGATTTTTTCAGATTCGCCTTTTTGATTCGTACAGAAATTAGTACATATTAGCAGATCGAATCTTTGGATTGCGCGTCCAAGTCCAGCAAAAAAAGTCTCGAAAGCTACAGCCGTGCAGGTTTTGGTGGCCGAGTCCTTGCGTTTTCTCTGCCAAGATCAAAGTCAGCGGCCGCTTGGTGTGATCCCCGAAGGGGATCATCCCATGACTCGGAATGTGGTGACAAATTTTAAAACTGTTTCTGGTAAACTTTAATTGGGTCATTGCTTTTTGGAGATAGAACCTTTCCTATTTCGAAATAGTTGATTCAGCTTTTTGGTGATTTTCCAGTTCGCTATCTAGTTTGGTAAAAACCGGTAGTGGGGCCTTCCATGGGGTTTTCCGTGAAAAGCCACGATCCTCCAGGACAGGTTACAAAAAATGGCTTGGCATAGTAAAATCATCCAAAGTGGCTTGGGATATTTTTTTTGGATATGTAACTTATGTACCCACCAAAATGACATTCTTTGAAAACATCAGGGATATTAGGGATTAATGATTAACCCCAGTGTAATAGTCATTGTGAATCTTTTCGATAGGATGTGAAACTGATGATGAAGCATCAACATTTGAAGAGCCTCTCTTTAGACAAACGACAAACCCAGATGGATATGGTCATCATGTGATGATTTTCTGAGTTTACCATCAAACTAATAGTTTGACCTTGAACATCTGAGAAATGGTCACTTCCGAAAGTTGTATCCCAGCTATTTGGCAAGGTCTGTGTTGGTTGGGAGGATGGCATGCACCCTCTGGTAAACTAACATAACTATGGAAAATCACCATTTTAAATGGGTAAATCCACTAGAAATGGCAATTTTCAATAGCTATATATAGCATTATATAGCTATGTTAGTTTACCAGAGGGTAACAAAAATTGGACCACGTCTTCGCCGCGCACCATTCGATCACGTCTTCGTCAATTCTCCTGGAAATCATGACCCCGAACTCCAAAAATACAAAGCAGATACACTCTGGTAAACTAAGAGTTGGCTATTGAAAATGGCCATAGAAATAGTTGATTTACCCATGAATAGCATGGTGATTTTCCATAGTTATGTAAACGTTTACCAGAGGGTATCCCCAGTCAAGGGATACTCATTTGGGGGTGAGTCACTTTAGACCCAGGCAATGGACAGGGGATTGTCCTTTATTTTGAAGTGTCCCGAGATAGACAAGTCTTCCGGAATGTTGATGTTGCTAACAGTCTAAAAAATCTAAAACCTCTCAGTATCCAAGTTTTGCATAACTGGGCACTTCAAACGTGATTGATGACATGTGCAACCCAGCCACCATTGCACATCACATTTTATGTTCCACATTGATGTTGGTCCAAAAACAGCCTCAGATCTTTTCCTTTTGGAACCCCATCAGGATGTTTGGCGACCTTCAGCTACCATGAAGTGACCAATGATTGTTTGGGATAATCCTGAGTTGGGGATCATCAGTCGATTCTTGGGCACTTGTTTTTGTGTTTTAATGTACTACTGTACAAAACGAATCTCCAAGTGGAAATCAATTGAATAGACCAACTTTATATTTGGTAGGAAAATTGTATCAATATCAACTACAAAGTAAAATTGGTGGGTGAATATCCCTGAATTCAATGAAGGGACATTGCATGTTTAAGTAGTAAACACCATGTTTTCCTGTCAAAAAGCCCTGCAACCAACCCTTAATTTTCCCTCTCAGTTGAATCTCTCGAACTTACCAATCAGTTGCCCTCTCGTAGTCAAACATGCGTTGCTGGAAATGCCCTACCGATGATTTTCCCATTCAAAACCTTCATTACCCTCTGGTAAACGTTTACACACCTATGGGAAATCACCATGCTATATATTCATGGATAAATCAACTATTTCGACTGGGCCATTTTCAATAGCTTTTTGTATGTTTACCAGGCCGGGTATTGTTTTTTTGCAATCCATGTTTTTCCTTTGATTTTCCAGTCAGTTGAGTCTCACCATTGGAAAACCCGAAACGGTCCGTTCTCCCAGGAAGTTCGTGGCTGCCAGCCACGGGCTACGCGCCCTGCTGGTGCTGGAGAAGGAGCCCAAAGCAACGGAGGCGGCGAGGCGCGTAACCGGTGTAACCCGTCAAAACGTCAAAAAAAACAATCATCATTTGGGTATGGGTCAATACCTATCAATACAATTTTTAGAGGGATGAACATCCATTTACCAGCTATTTTGATGTTCGCCAGGGGTACAAGGTTTTGACACACTGCCATTTCTAGGCTAGCCATTTCTTTGGGGGATTTTGGGGCAATGACGCATAGACGTCGTTTTCCTGATGATTTTCGAAGGGTCAAATTTCCGGGAGAACAACCAGTGAGGTAAATGATAGATGGAATACCAGTCAGCCCCTGGATTTATCGAACATGGTTTGTTTTGGTGAAACTAGGGGAATGGTCATCAATTCACTTCGTTCAGGAATGATGTTGGGATTCCCATGCATTGGCTTCAACCCATCAAGAATGAGGATTTAACATGATTGAATTGAAGCATCATCGATAGCATTGTAGCCATATCATGGAGATACAACACGGGATAAACCAAGGATAATGGAGGTATATGATAGCGTCTTTTGAACCAACAGCGGTAGAATGGTATAAGTATAATAATATTTCATGGTTGCCAACAACATCCAACAACACTAATAACAATGATTTAATTTTATGGGATCATCATGAGGCAATAATTGGACATAATGGGCTGAATATGAATACTGATGGATAGGGAAATTTGATGAAATTTGGGGGATACTTGCAACAAGCAACCACCCTAAAGATAGGACAGATCAGGACGTCCATTTACAATTTCTTTTCTGATCTGGTATGGATCAATACCTATTAATATCATTTTTAGTGGGATGAACATCCATTTACCAGCTATTTTGGGGTTCACTAGGTACCAGGGTTTTGACCCATCCCCATCTATTTTTCAGGGTTTTCCAGGGTTTTCCAGGGTTTTCTGGTCTTTTTTAGAGAAATCCATAAATCTTATGGATGTGCCAATCGTGGAGAATCTGGGTGAAGGGGGATAGATACCCGGCCTGGTAAACATTAACAAAAAGCGACATGGAAGCCATGGCCCAGTCGAAATAGTTGATTTACTCATGAATATCATGAATATAGCAGGGTGATTTTCCATAGTTTTTTGTAAACGTTTACCAGAGGGTAAACGAAGGTACTGGTGATTTTAAGGGTCACCTGAAAACCACAGACATTTTAGGCGGAGTAGTAGATCATGAACGCCCCAAAATCGCAACTGTTCCATATTCATGTGTGTGATGTGAACAGAAGAGTTTAAGGGGGTTGACCCATATCTTTGGTTGCTGTTGCTGCCATTATTTGGAGGTTTCCTAAATTTTTTTGGCTACCCCCAAATCATCCATGGATTTTCTATTATCAATGGATTGGTTTAAGGGAAAATCTGCAGGAAACCATAGATTTTCCCATTAAATATGGGGCTTTCCTGTAAATTTTCCCTTAAACCAATCCAGTGATATTATAAACCATCCAGCTATTGGGGTGCCCCCATGACTATGGAAGCTGTTGGTTTCCCAAGTCATGGGACCCTGGTTTCCAGCACATTGGGGCAGGCAAGCCTTGGCTCAGATCCTCATCAGCACCAACCCAGCTTCGCTCCAGCGCTCCCATCGCAGAGATTTTCTGGGACCATATTTTCACCGGAACCAGATTTCGATGGTAGAAACCATGGAAAAAACCCGCTGGGTCATTTTGAGCCATGGGAAATCCAGCATTTCCAATGGTTAATCTACCATTTGGGGTGACTTTTTGTTAGGCAAACTCCAAGCCATGGGACATTTTGAGCCATGGTAATACCTTTCCGGTTTCCGATGTGATTTCACCAACAGCCATCCGTTTTTCGAATCCCATGTCCATATTTTTCCATCGATTTGGCCGTGTGTTGAGGTACCAGGAACAACTGGATTCGGTGAGGCGGAGTGAATTTTACTGGATGAATCACGATAGAACATGCGAAAAACCAAAGAACTTGAAGCTGCTGAGGTGAAAAAGTTCATTTAGGAATATTTAGGATACTTCAAATGAATTCAAATGATACAAACTCATCGAAAGTCTACCAACATTTTCAAAGCACGTTTCGGCTTGGGATTCGCATTAAAGGTATCTCAGAGGTACCTTGGTGGCCAGGCCCCTTTTGGAGATGTTTTCCTCTTCCAATGAGCTCTGCCAATTCGAAGGTGGGAAGCAGATGGCCATGGCCATGGCGGTGGTTTTGTCAAAAGTTTTGTCATTTTCCCTCTGAAAATGTGGTTGGTCATTTTTTTTGCGGCAAAAAAAGGTCTTGATGACATGAACTAAAAGTTCGCCTTATCTTCCGGTCGAAGATTTCAGAGTTTTGACACTCAATCCAAACTCTTGGTAGATCCTCGATTCCACATGATATTTTTCTTGTTGGTTTATTTTGTTATCCTCTATTTTTTGAACCATTTACCATCTGGTTATTTAACATAGCCATGGAAAATCACCATTTTAAATAGGTAAACCATCTATAAATGGGCCATTTTCCATGGCTATTTTGACATCACCAGAGGGTAAACCAGTTCAACCACCAAAGACCAGGTGCCATGGCCTTGACCAACCTCCTCACCAGCTCGGAAGAGCTTCGCGGCCGTGCGCTGCACCTCGGCGGGTTTGCGGTGTCATTCATGATGTTTTGAAATGAAGTTAGATCATCTTTAGATCATGTATAGTTATACTATGTTATACTTACTATAGTTCAACCTTGTTTTTTTTTTAATGGTGTGAAACATTTGTTTATTTTTGTCTCATGGAAGAGTCGAGCAGATGGTCCCATGGGTCAATGGGTTACTGAAGACTTGGGGACAGCTCTGAGGCAAGGTGGGGCGTGGAATCTCAGCAAAGACCTGTTGTTCTCCGACAACGAGCAGGCGCCCTTCGCTGTCAGCGCTTCACTGTGGGCTTCACAACGAGCTGGCTGGGAACATAGTGATTATATTAGTTTATCATAGTCTTCTCCATATTCAACTTCTAAGCTTGACACCTTTCTCCAAGAATATTCACTTTCTAGACTTTATATATCAATCTGGGATTTATGGGCTGAATTTTGAGATTCATATCCACTTTTATGGGAGATTCATTCACATTTTTTCAGATATTTCATGGGGATGGGGTATTTCATGCTGAGAACTCTCCATCTATCCAGCAAATTATGTGGCAATGAATCCCTTGCATCTTTTTTTCAGCATGGGAACCTTGCGTTCGTATGATTCGCCTTCCATCCAAGGTGTTACCCTCAGGTAAACGTTAACAAAAAACTATGGAACATCACCATGCTATTCATGGGAAAATCCACTATTTCTATGGCCATTTACCATAGCTTTTTGTTAGTTTACCAGAGGGTATATCCCATTAATATCCCATTGAATCACTATAAAATCCCATGAAATCACTTATTTATACCATTAAATCACTATTTTTATCCCATGATGTACCAGGCCGGGTATCATGTTTTTAGTTTACCAGGCCGGGTTTTAAACATCGATGCCCTTCCAGGTGCAATGTGCGGGACTGGAGGTCATGTGCAATCTCTCCATGTCGCCGGAGGTGGCAGCCTGCAGATGGGAGAAAGAACAGCGAGCAAAATATGGCCACTTTCCATAGGGGAAAAAAGTGGGAAGATGTCTAGAAAATTCTATAAATATATATGTAACTATGGAAAATCACCATTTTCAATGGGAAAACTCACTATAAATGATATATTATATTATATTCCATTATATGGGTATGGATCAATACCTATGAAAATACCATTTTTAGGGGAATGAACATCCATTTTAACCCAGCTATTTTGATGTGAACAGAAGGGGTACTATTGGTTTTGACACACTGCCATATATGTAATTAGCCATAACCCATCAATATCATTCAATTATTCAATATCAACTTGTTGGGAAAAGAATTATATATCAACTATTATGATAACATGATAAACCATGAATTTATTGTAACACCCAAATGCAGCACTTCATCGACGGGTCTTCAGTTCACACCAACCCCACTCGGCAATCAGTCCATCAATCAACCAGCCAGTCAACCAATCACGAATACATAAATAATACATTGTAGAGCTTCGCACACCGCCAACGCTATAAGGGTTATGTTGGTAGTGTGCGTGTTGGCATTGTTCATCGCGCGCACAGGGCACAATGTGATATTCTTTACATACCGCAGCTTGCAACCATTTTACCACACATCTTTTTGTCGCATTTTGGTGTGCCCCTAAAAATTGTCAAACAGGTGGTGTTTTCACGTTTTTTTTGAGACTCTCCGAGCACAAAATAAATGCATTTTTTTTCCGCCTCGGAAACCAAGAACCACGGTATTTACGATGTTTTGTGCCAGTGGTAGCAAAAACCGCGGTATCTGCAGTGTTTTTGAGACATCACCTAGCAAAAAACACTGGTATTTGCTGTATGCGATTTTCAGCATGTTGCAAGAAGTATAGTTTTTATATGCCAAGAGTACCAAAAAAACACTGTAATTTCCGAGGTTTGATTCCCGAGCGCAACACAAAATCGAAGGAAAGCAACTGATTTTCGTCCACCTCCCGGCCGGGCCTTGGGCCCATGTCTTTTTTGTTTTTTTGAAGACATAAATAATTACTAAATACTTCCAAATACAATGTTTTATAATCAAACATAAAGGAGAAGGAATAACCACGAGAAGAACAAGTGAACGAGAAGCGGAGGAATGAATTCAATGTATATACAAGGAGGAGAACAACAATAATTAGAGGAGCAGGAGGGAAAAGAACACCGTCAGCAAAAACAACAACATGCAAGAACTGCAAAAACCCTGGCACCGGCAAACACAAGCACCAACAAATACACCAAAACCTCAGAACATGTTTTCACTTATCTTGGTGTCTCGACATGGGGAAAACATGTGTATACTCCCCAACAAAACCTAGATTTTAATGGGGGCATGATGATAAACCATGATAATACAGCCTTCTTTCGGACACACAAAATGTGAGTTTGGAAATGCCCGTGCCTGGGCATTTCCAAGGCAAACTCTGACCGTTTTTCCGCAGGTCTTGGAGCGCTTTGTGGATGGAAAAGCCTCTGTGGAACTGCAGCTCCTTGGAGCTTTTTGCCAGAGCGAGGCCATGGGAAATGGGACAGGAATGGCGTCCCCGGAGTAAAGCCTGGTTGATCAACTAGGGGGTGACACCAGTGACACCAGTGACACCAGTGAAAAGCAGCCTGGGGGGTTCATTCATATGGGATTCTGATGATATTCCTGATCCTGATTATGATATTGATGGGGATATAGTGGGCGTAACCGACTCCGACAGTAAATATATAATCGGGGTACGAATCTGGGCAGATGATAGCGACCTCACCGCAAGGTCTGAGGTCACTGGAATGACCAACTTTAATGTATGAGGTAAGCCTGGAAAGCCGAATGATCTACCATGATCTACCCAAATTTTGGCATGCTTGAAATCCCACCTTAGGACTGGGAAAGTAATTATAGGATGTTTCGTCGATTCGAAAAACCTTAAAAATCGCAGATCATGGGGAAAATCTGGGGTCCATTGCACCCAATCTTGGGTGTTTGATTTGCACCCATGGCCATGCCTTCAGAGACCAAATCAGCTTTGACTGCAAGTTAGACCCTCAAGTCGCTCGGAGAGTCACTTCGCCTGGAAAGTGGATTTGTCCCTCAATTTTCAGCCACCATTTTATGGGACACTGATGATTCTCTTGCCATCCATAGCCATTCGATTTGTACCCGTGCCAGCATCCCCCAGTTTCCGCCATCACACCGTGCAGAAACTCAGGAGCCACGTGCCAGCATTGCTGCTTCTGGAGCGCTTGCGATGTTGGCAGATACTCCAGAGGTGGCACCTTTTTTTGGAAAGTGAATAGCCTCCAGTAAACCAACACAGCTATGGAAAATGGATGAAAATTGCCTATTCATACATGAGATGTACCTATAAAATCCTATAAACATTGTGATTTCTCATAGCTGTGTTAAATTGCCAGAGGATGTATTATATTAATCATATGAAGCAACAATCAATGAGGAACGTGAAGCCCACGAGGAAAATTAACTGAAAGCCGCCACTCGCCCCACTCGCCCTCTCTAGCAAATTAGCCGAAAGCCGCCACTCGCCCCACTCGCCCCACTTGCCTTGGTGGGAACACCAATTAATTTTGGCCACTCGCCCCGCTTGCTCCGCTTGCCGCACTTGGCCCACTCGCCGCGCTTGCCGGGGTGTGCGGGGTAAGCAGGGCAAGCAAGGCCAACGGGGGTAAATGGGGCAAGCGGGGCAAGCGATGTACTTCTGTGTGGTGAAGCGAAGGCAAGTAGGGCAACCTGGGGGGGGGGGCAAGAGGGGCAAATAGGCAAAAGGGAAGAACCAGCGATCTTCTGTCGGCTTGCAAGTAGGGCAATCGGAGCAAGCAGGGCAAGCGGGGCAAGGAGGAAGATTCACTTATTTCCCCCACAAGCAGAGCAAGCAGGGCAAGCAGGGCAAGCGGGGCAAGCGGTCGAAATCAGTTAGCGGCCCCGTGGGGCAACCACACTGCAACAAAGATAATCATGGATTTGAGCCTTGTGACTTCAAGGAGATTAAAGGGCAGCAAACATTGAACATGGACCAATAGTCTTAGATGTTTTTAACATCCAAATTTCGTAAAGGTTTAGTTTCTCTTTCCCTTAAATCAACTTGAGATATTTGAGGTTGGAGTGAAGTTTGAAGTTTGGTTTCCACGAACAACCGAACAAAACATGTTTGTTTGATCCCAACTTTGCGACTCTATCGACCAACGCCACAGTGAACCTACCGCCCTGTGCCGCAGGTTGCTGAGCGGATCGCTGAGTGCCAGCACTGCATCACTGGTCTCTTGAAGCTCTTGGAGAGCCAGGTGGGGTCAGCTGTTTGGAGGTCTAGCCGCAGGATGAACATGGGCTATGCCCAAAATTGGCAGTTGGGAGAGTGACAAACCAACACACACCATGGGAGTTTGGGTCTTTTCCCAGTTTTCGCCGTAATTTTTCAGACAGACCCACATGTTTAGATGGTCATTGACCTGAAAAATCATTAGGACATCATTGGAAAGTGCCGGTTTGCTATGGTTTGCTAGATGTTTTTTTTCATGTTTTTTCCCCTGTGAACTTGAAGAAATCCAAGAAATTCATGTTGGAAGATGCCCCTGGGAGATCTCCCAAGTTGGTGAACGGGCTTTGAACCATGTGGGCGACCATCAAAACAATAGCAACAGCAACAGCAATAACAAGAAGAATAAGTTAGTGATGGTTCCTTACTAAAATTTTGATACACTTTCTCAAGGTATTCTGTTGTTGGATTCAGCACTGATACTGTATTCCCCCATCGAAGAATCGCAGTCACAGTCGATGTCATAGCCACTTCATTGTCCTCAGCCCCAGAGGGGCCATGCGCACAGGCTTAAGGGAGTCATCGAAAGATCATCGAAAGATCCAGTTTTTGTATGCCTAGATAAATTATACAATTACACAATGTACTATATATATATATTTAAGGGCTGCCGCCCCTGCCGCCGACCCCGGAAACAGGACAGTTGCCTGCGTTGAATTGCCCAAGTGGTTTGAATCTCTAAATCAGCAGCATACTGTAGGATTCTGTCTGACTTACGACCCTTCTCAATTCCTAGACAAGTTTCTCCTTTCTACCTCCTGCAGCTGTTGTTTGGTAGCTCCAAGCTGCAAGCATCAGGCTTCCAGAACGGACCCCTCGCCACAGCAAAACAGCACCTAATTGCGTGCCGAAACCGTGTTCATACTTATCCAGAAAAACTCCCTAACGTCCCTTCTGAATTCCTAGAAAATTCCTATCCTAGATTCCTAGAATTCCTAGAAAATTCCTAGAATTCCTAGAAAAAATGTCTCTTTTTTCTGCCTCCTGCAGCTGTTGTTTGGTGGCTCCAAGCTGCAAGCACATCAGGCCTCCAGAACGGACTCTTCGCCATAGTGCTGGCTTAAACTTACCCGCAGAAACTCCCTCACGACCCGTCTCAATTCCTAGACAAGTTTCTCTTTTCTACCTCCTGCAGCTGTTGTTTGGTGGCTCCAAGCTGCAAGCAAGCAAAACAGCACCTAATTGCGTGCCGAAACCGTGCTCAAACTGATTCACGTTTGGTGGCTCCAAGCTGCAAGCATCAGGCTTCCAGAACGGACCCCTCGCCACAGCAAAACAGCACCTACTTGCGTGCCGAAACCGTGTTCAAACTTATCCAGAAAAACTCCCTCACGTCCCTTCTGAATTCCTAGAAAATTCCTAGATTCCTAGATTCCTAGAAAAAATGTCTCTTTTTTCTGCCTCCTGCAGCTGTTGTTTGGTGGCTCCAAGCTGCAAGCACATCAGGCCTCCAGAACGGCTCTTCGCCATAGTGCTGGCTTCAACTTACCCGCAAAAATTCCCTCACGACCCTTCTCAATTCCTAGACAAGTTTCTCCTTTCTACCTCCTGCAGCTGTTGTTTGGTGGCTCCAAGCTGCAAGCATCAGGTTTCCAGAACGGACCCCTCGCCACAGCAAAACAGCACCTACTTGCGTGCCGAAACCGTGTTCATACTTATCCAGAAAAACTCCCTAACGTCCCTTCTGAATTCCTAGAAAATTCCTATCCTAGATTCCTAGAATTCCTAGAAAAAATGTCTCTTTTTTCTGCCTCCTGCAGCTGTTGTTTGGTGGCTCCAAGCTGCAAGCACATCAGGCCTCCAGAACGGACTCTTCGCCATAGTGCTGGCTTAAACTTACCCGCAAAAACTCCCTCACGACCCTTCTCAATTCCTAGACAAGTTTCTCTTTTCTACCTCCTGCAGCTGTTGTTTGGTGGCTCCAAGCTGCAAGCATCAGGCCTCCAGAACGGACCCTTCGCCACAGCAAAACAGCACCTAATTGCGTGCCGAAAGGTTGTGCAAGCTTATCCACAAAAACTCCCCAACGTCCCTTCTGAATTCCAAGAAAAAATGTCTTTTGTCTGCCTCCTGCAGTTGTTGTTTGGTGGCCCCAAGCTGCAAGCATGAAGCCTCTAGAACGGACCCTCCGCCACAGCAAAACAGCACCTAATTGCGTGCCGAAACCGTGCTCAAACTTATTCACGTTTGGTGGCTCCAAGCTGCAAGCATCAGGCTTCCAGAACGGACACTTCACCACAGCAAAGCAGGACCGAATTTTCAAACTTATCCACAAAATATCCGTAACGTCCCTTCTGAATTCCTAGACAAAATGTCTTTTTTCTGCCTCCTGTTGTTTGGTGGCTCCAAGCTGCAAGCATCAAGCCTCCAGAACGGATCCTTCGCCACAGCAAAACAGCACCTAATTGCGTACCGAAACCGTGTTCAAACTTATTCACGTTTGGTGGCTCCAAGCTGCAAGCATCAGGCTTCCAGAACGGACCCCTCGCCACAGCAAAACAGCACCTAATTGCGTGCCGAAACCGTGTTCAAACTAATCCAGAAAAACTCCCTAACGTCCCTTCTGAATTCCTAGAAAAAATGTCTCTTTTTTCTGCCTCCTGCAGCTGTTGTTTGGTGGCTCCAAGCTGCAAGCACATCAGGCCTCCAGAACGGACTCTTCGCCATAGTGCTGGCTGAAACTTACCCGCAAAAACTCCCTCACGACCCTTCTCAATTCCTAGACAAGTTTCTCTTTTCTACCTCCTGCAGCTGTTGTTTGGTGGCTCCAAGCTGCAAGCATCAGGCCTCCAGAACGGACCCTTCGCCACAGCAAAACAGCACCTAATTGCGTGCCGAAAGGTTGTGCAAGCTTATCCACAAAAACTCCCCAACGTCCCTTCTGAATTCCAAGAAAAAATGTCTTTTGTCTGCCTCCTGCAGTTGTTGTTTGGTGGCTCCAAGCTGCAAGCTCCAAGCTGCAAGCATCAGGCTCCCAGAACGGACCCCTCGCCACAGCAAAACAGCACCTAATTGCGTGCCGAAACCGTGTTCAAACTAATCCAGAAAAACTCCCTAACGTCCCTTCTGAATTCCTAGAAAAAATGTCTCTTTTTTCTGCCTCCTGCAGCTGTTGTTTGGTGGCTCCAAGCTGCAAGCATCAGGCCTCCAGAACGGACACTTCACCACAGCAAAGCAGCACCGAATTTTCAAACTTATCCACAAAATATCCGTAACGTCCCGTCTGAATTCCTAGACAAAATGTCTTTTTTCTGCCTCCTGTTGTTTGGTGGCTCCAAGCTGCAAGCATCAAGCCTCCAGAACGGATCCTTCGCCACAGCAAAACAGCACCTAATTGCGTACCGAAACCGTGTTCAAACTTATTCACGTCTGGTGGCTCCAAGCTGCAAGCATCAGGCTTCCAGAACGGACCCCTCGCCACAGCAAAACAGCACCTAATTGCGTGCCGAAACCGTGTTCAAACTAATCCAGAAAAACTCCCTAACGTCCCTTCTGAATTCCTAGAAAAAATGTCTCTTTTTGCTGCTGCTGCTGCGACCAGTTTTTGTAGTCTATTGTTTGTACAATGAGACATAGAACCCTCCTGCTGCTCCTGTTGCTGCTGCTGCTGCTCTTCCTCCCGAAGTTCAAAACGCACCCTGCCGGACAGGGAAGCACAGTGGCCCTGAAGGACGGAACGGCGCCAGAATCGAGCCCGACCGGTTTAGTAGTAGTAGTAGTAGTAGTAGTAGTAGTAGTAGTCGTAGTAGTCGTAGTCGTAGTAGTCGTAGTAGTCGTAGTAGTAGTAGTAGCAGCAGGAGTAGTAGTAGTAGTAGTAGTCGTCGTCGTCGTCGTCGTCGTAGTAGTAGTAGTATATAGTAGTATAGTACTAGTAGTAGTAGTAGTAGTAGTAGTAGTAGTAGTAGTAGTAGTAGTAGTAGTAGTAGTAGTAGTAGTAGTAGTAGTCGTAGTAGTCGTAGTAGTAGTAGTAGCAGCAGCAGGAGTAGTAGTAGTAGTAGTAGTCGTCGTCGTCGTAGTAGTAGTAGTATATAGTAGTATAGTACTAGTAGTAGTAGTAGTAGTAATAGTAGTAGTAGTAGTAGTAGAAATAGTAGCAGTGCAATACATCTTTTTCCCTTACGCGCTCCCCCTTGCGTCGGCCGGGGTCGGCGGATTTTAGCTACTTTTTCCTCGTGCTACTATTGCCGCTGGCTGCTGGCGACTGACTATGTGCTGTTCTACCCTATAGAATATAGAAGTGGTACTAGTCCGAAACCAGGGTCAAATGTATTATTCCCTAGCGCGCTCCCCCTTGCGTCTGCCGGGGTCGGCGGATATGGCCCAACGATATTCTAAGTATAGGTTTTTTGACGTCAACTGTATTCTAAGTAAATGTTTTCAAGTTCAATTATGGGGATGCCCTGGGAAGCCAAAATTTCAATTCTATATTCTATGTGGGCGGGGTCCATTATATATGTATATAACACCATATAGCTATATATTATATATGTAAATATAATTTTTCCCCACCTGCCAGGTGAGGGTTGTTAGATTTTATGTCAGTTGCCTGCTCCTCCTCTCCTCTCCTCTCCTCTCCTCTCCTCGTCTCCTCTCCTCCTCTCCTCTCCTCCTCCTCCTGCTCAACCGCGACCCTCGACGCACAGTGGTCTCTGTCGACCTCAACCACGACCATCCACGCCCAGTGTTCCCTGCCGGACCTCAACCGCGAGTATCCATGCCAAGTGTTCCCTGCCGGACCTCAACCGCGAGTATCCACGCCAAAAGATATGCCACATAGAGTGCCAGAAGATATGCCAGATAGAATGTTAGAAGATATGCCAGATAGAATGCCAGAAGGTATGCCAGATAGAATGCGAGATAGAATGTCAGATAGAATGCCAGAAGATATGCCAGATAAAGTGCCAGAATGTTTGCCAGATAGAATGCCAGCAGATTTGCCAGATAATATGCCAGAAGATATGCTAGATAGAATGCCAGATGGAATAGCAGAAGATTTGCCAGATAATATGCCAGAAGATATGCCAGATAGAATGCCAGATGGAA